AGTGGAGAAGAAGCAGCTATGAAGGATCCAAGATGGGAAGGTATAGAAAGCTCTGTTTTACACTTTGGCTCTTTCTGCTATTTGTGCATATGTACAGTCTGAATCTCTAAATTACTGATTTCTTTCTTGTTGGATTTATTTATGTATTTGATCATATTTTTGACATGTTCCACTACTGTCAATTTATCTACTTTATCTACATGCAGTGGTTGCAGCATCTACTGAAGATAACAGACACCTATTCCCCTTGTAAGATGAAAGCCTTCATCTGTGGTATAACTCATGTATGTCTGCTAACTGCTGATGTATTTTTACTATTACAAGTGGAAAGAAAGTCTTTTTAGATCATAAGAATATATACTTATAGAACTAGAAAAAAATTTATAAGGCTTAAGGTCAATGCCATATTGGAAGCTATTTGCTGATCATTTTCAAAACTGGCAAGGATAGAGAAATGTAACAAATGTGGAATGAAAATGCATGGAAGATAAGTAAATTTTATGCACAAAAGAAGTATTTAAGAAAGTACAGTGAGAAACAGATAAAAGCAAAGTGAGACCAAATATATATGCATGCGTGGAAACACTGATTGAGAAATCTAACTGCAATGATTTCCATCCTCTCATCATAACTGAGCATGTACTAAATGAATAAACTGCTACTTGACATTTCCTAAATAAATATCATGGGAAGAGTACTTATTTTACTTTAATGAATCATTTTGGCCTCCCCAACAGAAAGTAGATGTGGTGAACTATAATCTGTTCTGGGAAAAATAATTCTATAATGGAGATATATGTGGACTGAAATATGAGAAGTTGTGGTCTCCAACAGGTCTACTTTAAAACAGATTCTGATTCATCCATGCCCACTGCTACTTATATTTGATTATAACTGTTGACATACTGTATCTGCCATGCAAAGAGCTATTTCTTTACTAGGAAAGAAAGCCATATGGTTCGTGGATGACTATGAATTTTCACAAGGCAAACTGAACTAATATGTATATAAATTTTTTTACTGTGGCTATTAAAACAAAACTACCTGTTTAGAAAACAGAACATTTTCAAATCAATGGGATATTATATGAAGCCCATATAATACATTTCTAAGAACTAAAAGTCTTGATGGAGTAACACTAACTTTCTGCATTAGTGGTCCTCTTGTTCACCAGGCATGGTTAGATAAACAAATTCACTGTACTGATTAAGTGAAGCAGCAAATAAGACTTGTCTTGTTCATGGAGTAGAACCGAAGCAGCTGTTTTTCTTTGACTGTTGCAGATTCAAAGGGCCCCCAAAGGTATACCTCATAAAAAAATGGGGTTACTTTAGGGGTTATGTTCTTTTTATTACTAAAACTTCTCATAGGATTATCATAGATATACAAGGAAATTGCTTTGACTATGTGTAATTACCAATAGGAAAAAAATTCCTGCCAGAGGCAGGTGTAAAATAACATTTTACCATCTTTGTTAAGGCACACAAAACCTATTCCAATAATTACTCCATTGTCTGTAATTTAGCCAGGCAAAGCTCACAATCAGGCTGAAATTCAGTCATCCAGACTGTGTCTTATGAATATTTCCTATTACAGCCTCTGCTATTACAGCCCTTTCGTAACTGTGACATGGTAACTGGACCAGGACATGCAATGTTCAGGAGAGCTTGCAGGGGGTACTCTCTAGGCAGGACGCTGCCTGGCACTGAGTGGAACACGAATATCCAAGCTTTCCTCAGGATCAGGTATGAATTTCATATTCAGGGATATATTTCTCCTATCACATCTACCAATTACTATTGAAGCAACTTGCTTCAAATACTGAAATTCATTTAGAATAGAATTTTTAGTTTGCCATAACAGACCTTGATATTTTTGTCTTGTTTTGGTAAGTTTTTGTTTCAACAGCTTGGCCTTGCCAACAGTATCACCATTAATGCTGGTGGGACTTCGACCCACACAAATGTGAAATCCCGATCCCATTAAGTCATTAGGAATATTACCCTTGATTCAGCATGTCTTGGATTTGACTGTGTGGTTTTACGTGGTACATGGACAAAACAATCTCCTCAACACCTTTGTCAAGAGCAGTCTATGTTTGCTGGTTGTTTAATGCTGGTTTAAAGGACTTACGATACTCTAAGTGTCATAACTTGCACCAGAAATTTGAACTCATTTCAGAGGGACTAGAAATTCTAAAAAGTTAAAAAAGAGGTATGCCCTATGCTGTTCTAGTGCAAACTAGACAGATGAGTAACTAAATGCAAATAGCACTTTACAGTACTAAAATGAAAAGTTAAAAATAATCTAAATTAGAATCAATTAATTTATTTGATAATCCTAGTTTTTAGTTCATGTGTAACTGAACAATGGCACAATAAACACATTCTTTAATTTAGGAATATTATGTCAGATCACAGAGGGTCTGCCTAGAGCACTCAGAATTAAATCTCCAATGCATAACACTATAATTCATAAAACTATTAAACATTGTCTGAGTCCATTTTAACCACATACCAGACATTTTGAAAAGTATGCAAAATGATGGGGGAGGGAACAACCTTTCAAATATAAATTATAAGATCTGGTTAGCACTGTAAAAATAGCTACACACAGTAAAATTAAAACTTGCAGTTCTGAAAGAAGGTGTTTTGTGCAAACCATCTGGAAATGACTTGAAAGTATTGCTATACTGCTGAAAGCACAGAAATATAAAACTTGCTACTCTTCCTATTTTACCCGTTTTCCAGATAAAACAGGAAGATGAAAATGCAACTAATCACAAACATGAAAGACTGATGATACCTCAAACACATTTTCATTATAAAATAGTACCATCCCCTGCTCTACCCCAGAGTTGCTTTTTAAAACATCCAGTACAACCAGTATGCTTGTTTGACACATCACAGAGTAAAAAGCAGTTACTAAGACTCCACACGAGATTTCTCTATCGTCTGCACTCGGATCTGCACTCGGTCACATTGAGGTGACCCTTGCTCGTTGCAGGATGCCCACTTGCAGTCATCTACTTCTTAAATGGCTAGAGGTATTCAGTGTTGAATTTTGCTAGTGCTCCTCTTGTGATGCTACTCTGAAGCAGAGAGAAATAGTCACCGAACACTCCAGTACTGAGAAGGGCACTTGAGTTTTGCAGCCTTGTGCTTGGGCTCACACAACCTAGAGTGACAGCAGCACTTGGTCTCCTTCTCAGGGCTTGAATTTGGAAAAGATTCAAATATCACCTGCTCCCAAGGCACATTAAGCCTGTGTAAGCCCTATGCCGTAATGAAGCACAATCGGAAACAAACAATAGGTTGTCACTGCAAATTAGAAACCTTCGTAAGTTTGAGGGAAGTTGAGGTCGACGCACTTATACACGGATTTATGGCTAAATGCCAAGCTGTACGGCACCGGCACCGTTGGTAGAAGTGGGGCACCAGCAGCGGCAGGAACTAGGTTACGAAGGCGACAGAAAGCGGGGCCGTAAGAGAAAGCCCATTTTCTGCACTTCGCGCTGGCTGGAGGGCTCTCCCCGCTCCCCTCCTCCGGACCGACCCGCACCGGCCCCACCGCATCGCACCGGGCCGGGCCGGCGGGGGCCGCCCGCCCGAGGTGGCGGCTTTGCCGGTTCCGCTCCGGGAGGAGCGGCGGGCTGGTGCGCGCTGCGCTCCCGTTATGATGCGGGGTCATCATTTTATTTCTCCGGCAGACGGTGTTTAAAAGGGCCGCGAAGACGCTCAGCCAACCTGCCCGCGAACGCCGCCCTCCCCGCGGCGAGAGCCACCCGCGATCGCCTCGGTGACCGAGGGTAGCGCGGCAGATGCGCCCGGCGACCCCACCGCGCTCGGGTTGCGCGCCCGCGGGCCCTCCAGCCGCGCCGACCCCGCGCACCGCGGCGGGGCAGACGGGGGGAACGGGCGGGACGCGCCTGCCGCCCCACCGCCCCTCGGAGCACTGGGACAAGCCGGGATGAGCGGTGCGGCCCCTCCGACGTACCCGCACCTCCCCCCGGTGCGGCGGCCGGGAAATGACAGCGGGGAGCGGTGCGGGCGGCGGTCCGCCGGCAGCCCCGGTTGCCCGACCCCTACTCGAGGGGCAGCCCCGAAGATCCTGCGCTGCCAAAATTTAAATCGCCGCCGGTACTGCGGTTCCGTGGGCACCGTCCCCAGCCCCGCCGCCCCCCTACGCCAGACCGGCCGCACGGAGGGTCCGTACGCCGTCCTTCCCCCGTCTCCCCCGCTCCGGCACCGGGCACCCAGCCGCGCAGCCGTCCTGCCCGGGCTGTGCCGAGCCGAGACCCCCACCCGCCAAGGCGACCCCCGCCCGGCCAGCGCGGCGCCGAACGCACCGGGGAGGGGGTGACAGCCCCACCGACGGCGCGGCCGGCGCGCCTCGCCCCGCCGCCCGTGCCCGACGGCGGCGGTGCCCGCGCGGACCCGCGGCACCCGCACCCCGGCTCCTGCTGCTGCCTGGGCGGAGGCGCCCCGCGGGCAGCCCGGCGCGCATGGCGCCCCGACGGCGGCCCCTTGCCTTCCCCTCCCGTGCCCTGCCTGCCTGCCTACCTTTCTCAGCGCTGACATTCTAGAGCATTATGAACGCGGCGGGTGCGGCTGCGGCGGTCGGGGCTGAGGAGGCGCCGGCAGCGGGAGCAGCGGCGCGCGCCCAGCGTCCCCCGGCGCCGCTCACCCGCCGGGGCCGCCGCGCGCCGCCCGCCCGCCCGCCGCGCGCCGCTCCCGCGCGCCCCCAGCCCGCGCGCCCCGCGCGCACCCCCGCCCTCGCTCCCGCGCGCGCGGCACGGGCGCCCCCGGCGGCTCTGCGCAGCCGCGCGCCCCCTGCCGGAGCCCGCGCGCATCGCGCCGGGCGAGAGGGGGCGGGGCAGTCTGCGGCGCGGGCACGCCCCCTCCGCAGCCTCCGCCAATGGCGCCGCCCCGTGCCGTGACGGACAGGCGCGGCAGCCAACGGGGATGAAGGCTGCGGGGGGCCGCGGGGGCCGGCCGGGAGTCTCGGCGGGGCCGCGGGGCCATGGCCGAGAGCAGGAGGGAAGGTGAGGCCGCGCTGAGGGGGCGGACGGGCCGGGGTTGCCGCGCTGCTCCCGCGGCTGGGCACACAGGGAGTCGGGGGGCTGTGGTGGCGGCCCTGGGCGCGGCTACCCTCGGCCCAGTCGCGTTGCGGAGCCTTCCCGCGGTAGCGGGCGGTGGGAAACGGGAGGGCCCGGCGGGGGGGCCGGGGCTGTGGGTGCGCGGAGCCTCCGGGTGCGCGGAGCCTCCGGGCTGAGCCTGCCGAGCTCCTGCCCCGCTCCCGCCGTACCACGGAGGGTCCTCCTGCCGCCTGTTCCTGCCGGGGGTACGGGGGAGAAGTAGCAAATAAAAATTGCTTTTTAGTCACAAAGTATTGTAAAATAATACCTTTTTTTCTCAGTATGTGCGTGCATGTGTACTTACTTGCTGTTAGTGACCATCTAACTTGGCTTAATTGAAGTGAGTCAGCTCGGTTTTGAAATAACTATGGTACTATGATTACAAAGAATAAAATAAAAGCCTTCTGCTGTCCAAGCAAAACTTCGGTCCGTTCGGTTTATCTTTATGTTTTAGAAGACGTGGCTTTGCTCAGGAAGAATGCAGTATTAAAATTACAGGTGTTCTGTAAGTAGTATCTCTTTCTTAAGAGGGATTGAGTAGGGCTGGATGCTCACCCTGTGTCTGGCTTTTGCGTTTTCAGACAGTTCCAGCATCCTGAAACTGGAATCCTTCATGCAGGGATAACAACTTGAGAGTGAAACAGGTCAGCTAGAGTTAGTCTTTGAGCTATTTGCTGACTGTAACTAGTGATAGTTTGAAGAAAATATAAATACAAAGTAGTGTTCTCTGTGCTTTAGATGCAGCTTTCACGTGATAAATGGAGGAGTAACTGTTGTGTTTCGATACTTTGGGGATATGAATTATAAATTGATGTCTTCTGGAAGAAAGTTAGAGGATTGGGAAGAGTGAGTTCTTGTACTTGTAAATGAATGCATGGCTCTAGAGCTGAAAATGAGGGATCCAAATTCTAAAGCCCTCAAATTGTTTAAAATCAAAGGTAAAATAAAGAACCACTTGTTTTAGTAGTGTGGCAGAGAGAGCGAAATTATCATGCTGAGTGACTGTCTTTACTGTATAAAGTTAGAAATCATTCACATTTTATTCAGCCACTCTAATGAGCGATGACTTAAGATTGGGAAGAAAATACAGTGAGAAATACAAGGATGCCACATGCTCACCCAGAAGGAAATAACACAATTGGGAGAGTTTACAACGTGATCTGATCAGCCTCTGCAGTTGGTAGCGTATATGAAAAGTGTTGACTTTCTGTTGTGTGAAAATATATGCACTTTAAAAAAAAACTGAAAAAGAAAGTTTAGACACTTCTCTTTAAGGTTGGTTTTGCTCTTGTCTGTAGAAGTAGGTTGAAGATGCTGAAGACAGACTTCTGTCTGCGTTACAAGTGAACAATTAGGCTTTTTATTTTGTGCGGAACTGGGCCATAATACAGAATAAATGGGATGGTCAGCAGCTTGTAGGTGATGGGTCTGATTGTCATTTAGGAGAATCTAAACAGCAGACAGCCATAGTGCAGGCACTTCATTCTACCAGGAAAGAGTGGGGCAGGTCTAACTGAGAAGGTGCGGGTTTTTTTGAGTTTTGGGGTGCTTTTTGTTTTTTAGTTGGTTATGTACCAATGATTCGTAACAGGGCTAAAGGTGCAACCATTATCATAATATATATTACCAACAAGATGACTCTTCTGTCTGGGACAGCTGAGTGCATATTTTGTAACTGTTAAACATCATTAGTTGCATCTTTAAAGCAGTAATCATCATTCTTGAAAGTTTGTGCTACCCCAAAATAACATTGTCACAGGGGGTTGTATACAGACTGACCAGTAGAGTTAAGGTATTGATGTAGGTGCAGTGTATGTTGCCGACTATAACTGCAAGTAAAAAGTGATACAAAAGTTAGTGTGCTGTACAAAGGATATTCTAGGGGTACTACAGGATTCTTTCTATTTAAGAGATTAAACTGGAAAGCAAATGTGACCAACTGATAGTTGTCAGTGACAAATGTTTTTAAATAGAGTATTGCTTCGAGGACTGCTATTTCACCTCTTTGTGATGAATCAGATGGCTCGGGGCAGGATTGTTATGGGGGTTAAAAGGAGATTGCAGTTCCTTAGTTTGGGGGGTTTGTTGGAATTTTTAGATGACTAAATCAGGTATTAAATAACTTAATTCTTACAGAAAAACACAAGATTATTTTCGGTTTTGTAATTGTTTCAGAGCAACATATCTCTCAATAGAGATATTGAAGGGTTTTAAATATTTTTTTTGGTTGTTGTTTTTTAAACTCAACATAATTTTTTAGAAAGTACTTCTGAGGTTTTACTGGAAAAAAAGATCAACACCTTTTTTTATTGTGTCTTTATTATGTCTTTATTCACATATGCACATCAGTAAGGGAAATAATAATTAGAAATGGATTTTAATGCCTGACACTATTTTTTCTTCTGGGAAAAGTATCTTGCTCCCCCTAAACAATTGGGAGTGTTGGTTTCAGTGACCAGAGATTTATTACACCTTACCAAGATACAAATGTTATTTGTATTGTAGTTGAATAAATCACAAATATCTGTTTTTTGTGATTAAACATATGAGTTGCACTGGAGTAAAAGTACTTGACTGTGCCATTAAAACCTTTCATGGAGGGAGGAAAAGAAAATGTTAAGCCCTTTTTGTTGCTGACCTCAATGTTGTGCCAGGATGAGAAAGGCCAACATGGTAATGAAAGACACAGAAATTACACATCCAATGGCTTTCAGTTTTGAAAGTCTGTGAGAAGAGCTCATGCTCACAGAGAGCTGCACTTCCAGAGCTACACATCATGTGGTCTTGAGGGTTCTGTATTTTGTGTGCATGGTTGTTTGGGTTTTTTGGGGGATGGAGGGTGTTAGTTTAAGGCTGGTTTATTTTTAGAAATTTCACTTTGGAACAATTCTTATCTACTTTGCAGTGGGATAGGATGGTCCACAACTGATAGATGGGACTCTGTTAAAACATGCTAGGATATATTTAAGAACAGGTGTGTGTACTTGTACTTATTTAGCAAAAGGGGTGAGCTGGGGAGGTGGTACCATGTTGGTATGGAGTTATTTTACCTTTTTAAACAACCAGTGTGTGACAGCTTTCACTCAACACTAGTTTTGATCTTGTCATCAATAGATTTCTGCAATCTGTGGGTTATCTTGGAGCAAAGTTAAGATTGTGTCATGCCGTAACTCCAGCTGGCAACTAAGCCCCACACAGCCACTCACATACCTTCCACTGGGATAGGGGAAAGCATCAGAAGAGTAAAAGTGAGAAAATTCACTTCTATATCACCTGATTGAGATAAAGACAATTTAATAGGTAAATCAAAATCTGTGCAAGCGAAGCAGAAGAAGAAATCATTCACCATTTCCTATGGGCAGGCAGGTGTTCAGTCATTGCCAGGAAAGCAGAGCTCCATCACGTGTAACAATGACTTGGAAAGACAAGCATTGTCACTGAATATTTCCCCCTGCCGCCTTCTTCCCCCCAGCTTTATATGCTAAGTATGACAACATGTGGTATGGAATATTCCTTTGGTCAGTTGGGGTCAGTGTCCCAGTGTGTCCCCTCCCAATTCCTTGTGCACTCCCAGCCTCCTCACTGGTGGGGTAGGGTGAGGAGCAGAAAGATGTTTGGTATAATACTGATTTCTGTTGTATGTACATGTGAGGACAGTTGCAGAAGTCGCTGGATATTATGTTGAAATCAAATACTGAAATCACAGCAATCCGTGATATATATTTACTCCTTGAAGAAGGCTATGTAGAAATTCAGTTGTATTTATATTTTGTATAGTATAAGCTTATGAAGATTGCTTTTAAATAGCAATAATGCACAATCTTGTTGGACTTTTGTCTGTGCTCAGCGATACAACACCTGCCAGTTTCATGGTTTGTTTTTTAAATCCTGGTATATTGAACTTCATTTTATCTTGTTTCCTCTCCTCATATGAAAGTGTCTCTTTCAAATGTACAATTTTTTTTCTCTTCAGCAATCTGAACTCTGAATGAGTTGGTTTCTTTGTGTTTGGCCCAAGACATGGTGGGCCCTCCTGGCTGCCAGGGCACACTGCTGACACAGTCTCATGCAAGTATGGTTTACAGTTAGCCCAACTCTGAGTAGCCAGAGTTATTGTTACAACTAACAATAATAATCACCGAAGTTGAGATTTAGTAAGGGTATGTGAGATATCTTTGGCTCTTTTGAGTGAGGTCTGTTTGATTGTGACAGGTGAAAACAAGATAATGGTGTAGTATGAGAAATATATTTTTAAGTTGTGTGGAAGATGATAGCCTGCACAAATTGAAATAACAGCGAAGATGCTCTGTTTTCCCAGGACTCCCCAGGCTGCAGTAGCAGTACACATTTTACACGGTTTCACTACAAGGTAGACAACGTTATGAACAGCCAGAACAAAATCCTGGTGTTCTCATTGTGCTTATGTAGCTTCTTATCATCTGTGTCATGTCAAGTTTATTAGATGTCTAGATTGCTTGTGGCTGCAATTAAGGTGGCCTACTGAGAGATCTCTAAAACCTTTGTTGAGACAGGATGGCACAATCTATTAGTCAGATTCTTATTGAAATATGCAGTCATGTAGAATTTGCTGACAGATGTAACACCAGTCTTACTGACTTGAAACTGCAGTTTGATATCAAGATCATGCTTGATGAACCTAAATCACTTTCTTCTAAGCTAAGAAGAGAAAATAAATGTCTGCTTTATGTAGTAAATAACTTACTGGTTTGTATCTGCAATTGCTATGAACTGTGTTAGTCTGGATGCACACGGGTCAGTCTTGGAGTGGGAAATCACTCTCCCATTGTGATAACTACTTAATATAGGTGAATACGTAAATGTGGGGTATGTAATCACTATATTCTTTTCTTTTCCTGCCTTTGAATCCTACTGATGTGCACTATATA